AGTTTTGCCAATTTGTTATACTAATTGCCCAACTCTGAACCCAAGACTCTCTTTATTATTTGATGAAGTCTGCTCCTAAAAAAAGCCACTGCGAATTTTTGCTCCTGTTCAAAGTCGAGCATCCCCTGAAATAGAGTCAGCACGACCCTGCCGTCTTCTCGTGGCCGATGTCAGACTTTGCGAATCGCGCGATTCGCTAGCGTCCGCGGTCGCGTTGCGGTACCAGCCAATTGAGTGATTCACTGGCCGCGACGCGACCGCAGACGCTAGCGAATCGCGCGATTCGCAAAGTCTGACATCGGCCTATAGCTTTTTCTCAGGGCAGTCCCATAAAACTGGCCATATGACCCTTGGAGCCTACTAAAAATTAATGTTTTGTTGTTTCCAGTACGTTTTCGTAATTTTTTTCTTTTTTCCAGAATGGAGGAACAACACAATTCGGTGCTTCAAATCGACCACTGCGAGGCGAAAAAGACACTTTGTGGGAAGGTGGCACAAAAACAACCACTATTGTACATGCGCCCAAATCCATTCACATGAACGGAATCAGACCGCAGTAGGTTCATACTTGGAGTGTGTTCTTTGTACTCGTTAGGTTTTTGTACGCTTGGTATCCTTCGAGGGACAAGGCAGGTGTAGGTCATTTTGCCCGCTAATAGTCGAAACACGTGCCCATGGACTGACTGCTGGTAGCTGTGGTCGGTGACTGCGGTTAGACGACAGGAATCTTATATCTTCTCACAAAATCCAGTATTGAGTAGTCAGCGTATGTTGGTCATAACAATAAAAACAGATGATTGAGGAAAGGTCTGGCTCAGTGCCGAATGCGCAAGTCACTGATCAGCATTGTGGGGCCAGAGTACAAACGAGAACCATAAATCAACGCTGTATGAGAGCGAATAAACCGTCTCAAGTTTTGTAGCACGCCGCGGGATCGAGCTTCCCTCGAATGTCGATCAGAAGGTCCACCGCGCAGCAAATCAGCGGAAACGCGATACGCAATTCCCACGGTAGAACTCGGGATCGTGACGACCCGTCTGACTGCCCCCCGTCCACCGTCCGATGGGCCTCTTAACCGGCAACCTCGCGTGCCATTGAAAAATGTTCATTCCACTAAATCACAGAATACTCGTTTATCTTATAGGTTATTTCATGTCGTCGATTGGCATGCAACGATGTTGGCCATAGCTGGCTTGGACATACAGTCATACGGTAAATTACTCATCTTCGAGTTTGGATATCAGTTTACCATTGATAATTTCTATCATTACAGGTGACGGTATCAACCAGTGGAATTATATCATCACTGGCATTCCAAAACTTCGACGATTTCAATTTGTTTACAATATTGATGAGCATGGCTCAGCGATACGGTAGTGAGAAACCATTTTCTTGTTATGGTAAAATTATCGATTTTTCAAAAATCTGCCAGTATGAGTTCTTCAACTTTGATACATACGTGTACAATTCACACAGAGCTTGCCCTCGCTTCTGAAATTCCTTGACGTCCTATCATCTTATCAATCTGTAACCAGTTTATACTCCTTTCCATGGATGAAAAAGGGACTCCGTCACTTTTTCGATCTGGACTATGCAGGAGAGAGTACCGTAATTTCGGGTTGAAGGCCGACCCTGCGATTGATATGGGGCCGTATCTTGTCCTTCTCCTAGGCTAGGGGATGAAAGACTTAATCCTCACTTAATTTGTTTCCAAAGGACCGATTCTCTTACTTTCAGCACATGCCTTCTTTTACAAACATAAACATCATTACATATATATATTATATATTTATTTATAATACTTTCTCGGGGCGATTTTTCTGGGAAGAAAAAAGTAAAAATCAAAGGGGCATTTTCTGGGTTTCCTTAATTATTTCAGTCCGCTGCTATAATTGTACCTATGAGCTGAGCGTGGAAAAGAGAGGAATGCCTAGGATCATAGGGATCTGTAGGCGCAGAACACCCATCGGTCCTTACTAAGAGCTGAAAAAGTGAAATGTTCAAGGAGTCATGGCAGGACCTTTACCTCTTTGTCACACACTTTCCAGCCGGGAGAATAGGGCCTGTATCTTTGATAGACAGCTCCATCCTACCTATCACAGTTTTTCCACCTGAAACTCATCGTGGTATTTTCCTAAAGATTTCTTGAATCCCCGTGGGCCTTACCAGTAGGAAGGATACCACGAGAGAAATTTTATGGTAGGTATCGTTATATGAATTCCATTCCAAAATCTGCAACCATCGACCCTCGCTGCAACGCTTCCCACCCACCTGCTATTGATATAGAGATGAGCGTGCTCTCTCGCATGTTTTGTCTTCTTTGATCGCTCTGTCTCGTCATCTTACCACCTCTGACTTTACTCAAGGTTAAGGCCTTAATACTACCATTTCTAATGGTTCTCTTGTTCTCCTTTCCACCTTCGGCTCATTCTGCAGCTCAGTCCTCACTGCGAAGCACCCCTACACCGTTTTATCCGCAAGGCTGCCTGAGACGGCTCCCTGCCAGGTAATTCAAGCCTGATGCCACACTTTCCAGCCCTAACACATATGAGTGGAGCACATTTTCGGCTTGGCTCAGTCAGTATCGGGATTAGACATCATAGGTGTGCAGAAGTTAGTACCTTTTGCATCAATGTCCGTTATCTCCTTTTTCGGCTTCCTACTTCGCTCTTCGACTTCCGAACGGCTCGACGAATGAGGTGCACCTCGGCTCCCCGACTTTCTTCACGATTTGGGGCGCGGCCGCGACGAACCCGCGGCGGTCGCGGCCTGAGTGGTGCAGCATCAGCTTGCCTGAGTATTTGAAGTTATATTACGTGTCGTTACGATCGGATGAACTAACACGTAAGGCCGATGTCATAGTTTGCGAATCGAGCGATTCGCTAGAGAATCGCTCGAATCGCAAACTATGAACATACGGTAATGTCGAATGCTCAGGCAAGCTGATGCCGCACTACTCGGCCGCGAACGCTGCGGGTTTGCCGCGGCCACGCCCTAAATCGTGAAGAAGGTGGGGGAGCCGGGTGACACCCACATACTTACGGTCCTTATTACTCTCTATTATCTCGACGCAATGTATTTCCTGCCATTGGTGTCCTTGCTCCACTCCCGCCATTTCGCGTTAGAGCCCTTGACGCCCGAACCCTTTGGTTGCGATGCGCTTCATGAATTCCATGACACACGCCGGCCAGACTCACACGCTAAGTGGTGCGGTAAGGGGTATTACCCCCTAACGCCTACTCTATGTGGTGTTATTTACTATTTATAAACTTTATTTCCTACTCTCCTTTCCCATAACCTCGAGACACGTCGCTGACCTCAGTACTCATGGTGTTTCTAGAGACGGCGACTTCAAACTAATTCTCGGTAACCCAGACCGGCGAATACAAGGAGATCACGGAAAAGCTCGACTGTATCGAATTACAGGTAAAGAATTATTAGTGAATAAAATTATTGTATACCTAAAACAAATAAAAGGATAAAGGATAAAGCATTTGCCGTTGATCAATCCCTTTTTGGGATGCGGCACGCATTCTACTTCCATTTGTACATTCGTAGTGGCGTTTGAATGCGATGTGGCCTATACAATGACTTGCGGGGCCAGCCGATGTACAAGTCAGTGTTTTTATCCTCCCAGACAAGTCTGGTACCAATTAACCGACCCCGGAGGGATGGAAGGCTTGGTTGGCCCGGGCGACTCACGACCCAGGATTTGATCCCCGGACCGCTCGCGTGGTAAGCGTGCCACTTGCCACTACACCACTTCCGCCCTAACACCAAATAGCTATACAATTAACACGATAAATTCGTTTAAGCTTACCAGGAAAGGTCATTAGGCCAACCCGGCCAAATGAAATGAGGTGCACATTTCTGTACGCAGCATGAGACGCTGAACTCAAATCTGCTTTCACTATCTGCTGAACTCTTCTCTGAAAGGAGTTACGGAGGGTTTTTGTTGCCGCCCTTGATTTTCAGTGTTTTACCTGCAATCACATGTTAGCCGCACCATGAAAGTATCGAAAGGAGAACCGAGGCACTGGTGTCGTGAGCCTCGGTAGGCGCAGTTTGGTAGCGGTCGTGTTTCTCACGGAGGGGGTCGGGGGTTCGGTCCCTCACGGGGTTTGTTGTTTTGCTTTTTTCCCAACATGGCTGAAAAGCCTTTTTGAATCTGTTATTTTACCAATGGTCGCCCGACGCTACATCTACGAAGAGTTTGCAAGCTGACCCTCTTAAACTTAAGCACTACTTGTCTGTGAAAGCCTATGGTGCCCGTAGTGCAGGTGCTATGCTTTTCCGTGGCAAGTAGGTATGATATTCGTATTCAGGGGATCAAACTACCCCTTACAGCGAGTTTTTCGCCAAATCTGAGGCGACGAACTAATTGAGAAAAAGCGGGGCAGTGATGGGATTACCACTCCTCAAACTCCACTTTTTTGGGTTGACCAATCATGGACGACGGGGGAAGGGGAGAGAAGGTGTTGTATTAGGAAATAATGGTTTGCAGATCTTTGGATGATGCAGACGGGCAAGCCAGACACAATTTTTGTCTATTATGAAAAGTTTTTAAAAGGTTTATTCTACCCAAGTGCCAGCCTTTTGTAATGGATTGGTGGATCGGTGAGTAAGTGACTGCCCAAATTTTCGAGGTTAGGTCAAAATTTCAGAATTCGCTAGAAGTTCGCTCAAAGGGAGAGTCTGACTCCCTGATTACGAATATCATACTTGTTCGAAGCAAAAATGCCTGGCGCCTGCGCTACAAGCGCCCAAAGTGGTGAGGAGCGGTGCCGCCCAAGTTCATTATTAATTGCCCTCAAATTCTTTTTACTGTTAACTATACGCAAGCATGTCGGACTAGCAATGTTAGGAGTCTTCCTAGCTATCTTACTGCAAACGGCAAAGAGAACAAACTCGCCAGGGAGTTGATCCCCTGACCTCTTTTTCGTGAGCCTCGACCACAGCCCCTGCGCTTTTCTGCTTCATAATTCCTTTCAGAGAAGAGTTCAGCAGATAAGGAACACATATTTGAGCTCAGCGTCCCAAGGCGCGTATACACATATACATCTCATTTCAAATGGCCGGGTTGACCAAATGACCTTTCCTGGTTAGCAGCTTTTGCGATTCTTTTATCATATTTCTACGGTCCCTCGATGTCATGACAGCAAATCCATGGCTGCTATTTTAAGAGTTGCTGCGATGCGGGATTCATCTTAGTAGAAACAAATCACGGGTTTACTGTAGAATCTGAATTGATTTCCTGCAAAGATTACGGTAACTTTCTCTGCTCTACGTATTGGTGAATTGCTTGGAAATCGAATGGGTATAAGGATAGCCGGAAATTACTCCAGACGGGGCATACCTAGAATTTATGCATATAATACACCTTGGAATATCTGAGATTAAATTTCCATTTTTCAGAAGATCCTGGTGAAAGCAATGATCTCTCAAAAGTTCATCCAGGTATTGTTCATCGGTGAGTGTATTTACAATTATTAGTTCCGTTGTGTTGGTGCACTTGCAGTACTTATAAACAGGTACCATTGGCAAACAGAGAATGTACTGATATGGAAGAAAATCGTGCCCTATAACTCACTACATAATACAACTGAGGCGAGGTATCCTGTGAAGTGTGGTCGGGAGCTCGGCCTCAGCTCTTTTAATGATACTGACGAACGACGTTCGGCTGGAACCTGGAGATATGTCTGTCTACTCTGACGCCGCCCTCATTCAACCTTCTCTCAACTCCCTTCCCCCCTCCTCCTTCTCCACCAGAAGGACGGGAATTGGGACTTTTTGTTGGAATATTGATTGGACGTTTCTCTCAGTTGAATCCCGTTTCTATTCTCTCTAGGAGTAGGGATTCCCTTTCAATGGTGGTCCAATAAACAGCAATGTCGTAAATCGAAGCTACATTCCTAGAAGGTATTTCTAGAGGGTGTGGTTACCAGCCACTTCCGATCACGTTGTGGACCTGGTGCGGCCACCAACCTTCACTACATCATCACACGGCAATCAACCGAGGCTGAGTTTAGAGAAGTACTCCCGGTTTCCCAGAGCTCCTTACAACCCTGACCCTATCCTATCCAGGTGCTGCCTTCTCGGCCACCTACAGTCTTCAATCACGAGAAAGTATCCTAAGCGGTCTTCTCGGGGGTGAGGGGGGGGCGGAATCGACAAACGTGTCCGTTGCACCAGTCGATCCTTCGACCCCACGGTGTTGGGAGTCAGTGGATACGGTCGACAATTGAAATATTCGCAGCAAGAGGTAACATTCCTTTCATTATCCCTATACTGTTGGTAACTCAATCCATCACTGACAACATTCAGGTGAGAAAACATATCCAGGCATCATAGCATACTCACAAACTTAATCCTAAACTGCAGCACAGGTCAAAAAAAGGAGCACTTTATTCGTTGTTCTGTAATTATTGATTTTTTATAAAAAGCTGATAGTCTATGAAATTCATGAGGAGCCTTCAGAATACTTGCATTCTTTGTTAGCAATTTGAATACCAGGACTGAGTTTCGTTCATTACATCAACGATATCCAGAAGATACATGTGTTGGTGATGTAAAAACTAATTATGTCAATTTCAGGTGCAAAAGTCAGTATTCTGAGCTGCAAAATATATGCGAAAAAACGTTCGGAAACCGTTGAAGCCTGAAGGGCAGCCCGGAACGATTAAATGGAAGCTATGCGAGCTACTGGTGTACATAGTGTATATTGTACATAGATTATTGTAGACTTTTAATAAATCTCAGATTCGTTCCATGCCCAATAATCAACTGTGCTTACATCAAAATTTTATTTTCCACATTTTGATCATGGGCACTCTCACCCTTTACTGCCGTCCACTCCTTGAGACAAGCTGGATTTAGACAGCTCATCGCGAGAACGCCTGGCACCGGCGCCACAGGCACCAAAGCTATCCCAACAGATTCTCGGCGCCAGTAGCACAGGCTACAGGCTCACTTTCAGCAAACTAATGTGATAACCATGTTCTACTGGTCTACTACCTGCTGAGGTACAACAAATTTTCAGCAAATTTGGTGACCCAAGGTGTTCTGGCGCCCTTTGGGACTGTGGCGCTTGCGGTAGGCGTTTCCGTGAAGGCACGTAATATTCGTGGTCTACTCTCAAACTACCAACGTGGGCAACTTTCGAACAAATCCACAGTCATGGACAATTTTATAAGTAAATATCCGGCTCAGTTTTCGAGGAGTAAACGGGTAAACAGTGCCCAAATGACAACACTGCTCGCAATCGTGCTTGATTTTCGGTTACTCGCTCGAACTCTAGTCGAGGTTCAACAACCTTCATCAGGTGCCTTCGTTCTTTTAATGCTTGCCAAAATAGGTTCCCAAGGGGCGGGGGGAGTGACTAAACTTACGAATGATACGCAGAGGGGCAAGTGCAATAGTTCGGTAAGAAATTCCTGTCATGCAGATTTGCAGCATTGAGAAGCCATTCAGGAAGCAGTGATAGTTTTCCATGGCAATCTGACTGATAGAGGTTCTTCTGGAAATGGTCTTGGGCTCACCGCACGGGATCTGTTCTACGATACAATTTGAAAATTCGTTGTGGCTTACGAATTCCTGACCTTGACTCGATCTTGTTGGTAAAATGACTTCTCGATCGTTGTTAATAAAGCCTTCACAATGTCATTTTGAGGCCATGAGCATGTGTGTCGCGGTCTCTGCTCCAGTCGACAGCATCAAAGCGGAGTGTCGAAAACTTTCTCCGCTTCGCATCTAAAACGCTTCAAATTATTTTGCATGTGTGCTTAAAATAAATAACCGAGAGACCTTTGATTCATCAAATAACTGCATGGTAGCCATTTATAATACATGAGAAACAGGAGAAGAATCTGCCTCGGGAATATGTTTCAAGGCCCGAGCTCAACGAACTCCTCGGCGATCATTAATATCATTACAAAGCTCTCAGGAACGATTCTCAACAGGAGCTTTGAGAGCTACTACATTTAGTAATCTATCCACCAGAGAATCGGTTGAAGAAATTGGCCAGCAGCTGCAGGCTGGAGCCGTTACAGTAAGCCTCCTTGAGCTACGGCGACCTTACTTCTTCAAATTCCGAAGGCTGCAAGGGCAGGGAACAAGTGCATTGCTTATGGAACGAAACCTAAGGAGTATTTTGCTCAGGGGTATTTGCCATGAAACTTCCCTCAAGAGCCACCCCTGTGAAAAGAAAAGGTTCTCGGATGTACACCATAAGCGAAAATTTCCCCAACCCCCTCCCTGTTAATGTACACCAGTGTCAACGGCAGCCACGCTACGATGAGGGGGTGAAGCGCTTTCTATTCGTAAGAATTCTAGCTACAACGCATTCCAAACCACTTGGAAAGGTCTACTTGGCGTGCTTACTTACACTGACACTGACACTCAAAATTGGGACATCAGAACTATATTTTCAGAACGACCCAATAATAAGCGAGGATGGAGATGCCCTGCGGGCGGTACACGTGGAAAGTGGCGCTTTCCCGGCGACTACACCGTCCCTACCTTACATCGACCAATGTACGTACGTAGGAATAAGTGTTATTAATTAATAGGTAATAAAAGCTTGTAGCTAACATTTCGGTTTGCTTCGGATGGCAGCTATGGAGATCATAAATGTTTATTTATTTGCTTATTTATTTGTTTATTTGTTTATTTGTTTGTTTATTTATCTGTTGCGCTGATTCCCTTTGCTACCTCACATCAAATTTTGGTCGAAATTTGTACATGCTGTGGACTTGGCTAGAAAGTTGTCCCGAGAGTTATTCAACCGGTATCACTATTATTACATTCGTTCGGCGGGAGAACAACCTTATGCCGCGTTTTTGGCCATAAGTTGTGCATAAGGGGGGCAAGAAACAACTTCCGGTATCGAATTCGCTGGAAATTGTATGTCCAGGGTTGACTCGCAGAACAATGAACATGCATTTATTTAATGCGACTGAGCTTGTAGTGTTCTGCACGGGCGCCGGCGGCAGATGTTTTCACGCTAGGCTGATGTTATCATCGGGGTCTACTGGTTGAATACCAGGAAACAATTTCCTAGCCAAATCCTTAATCATGGACAAAATTTCGATCAAAATGCGGTTCAATTTTCGGTATGTGGACCAGATCTCCCGCCTCCCCCCCCCGTACTCTATTAGCCAATCAGCTGCTTTTCAAAACTTGTTTCATAACTTTACTTTGAACTCCTGTATTATCCTAAGCTTCCCGTATTAATTTGCTGTACATGTATATATGCATATATTTATATATTTACACGCTATTGTGTTACTGTTCCCCATTTAATATAACATTGTCTCATTTGTGCAATAGTAAATAAATAAATAAAAGGTGAATAGCGCCATTTATTCATTTATTCTTTAAACTTCACTTATTCATTTGTCATTTATTTATTCATGTTAAAAATCCAATTTATTTCATTGAAACTTCAGTGTTTCTATAGAAGTTAAGCTCTACTCACACACCCTAAGATTTAGTGTAAAGCTTACCCACCTACAACGCGAAGAAAATTTGCGCTGTAGGTGGGCAAGCTTCACTCTAAATATTAGGGTGTGTAGGAAGACTATTACCGTAATGCTAGTGGCTGATGTGAGACTATTTGATTAGGCCAATGGAAATTCTGGAGCGCGACACTCCTCAATCGTAATAGTAGTACTCTACTCATTGTGTGAGGTCCTTTGCTGGGATGGCAAATGCAAAAAAAGGGGGCGTATATTCTTGATGGGAGATAGCATCTCCCAATAGTGCTAGAGATGCTATGCACACATGATATCACTTGAGCGCAAGTGGTTACTGTAAACACGGGGGATGTCTCACTCTGGCGTGAATCTGGGAACACTACCGCCTCACCCAACAATAGCTTCACCAGAGCGCTTCTGTTGGCTTCAAAAAGTGTTCTTCTGAGTGGGTTGACTGAGTTGTGATCCGTTGTAATGAGACAAGGGACCAGAGAGAGCTACGGCACTGCCCTTAAGGACCCAACTACAGTACGAAAATAGCTAAAGCTAGCGTTTCTGGGCCCTAACATGATTGCTTCAGCGCTGATTTAGGGGAAAGAATAGCGCTTAACTTGTTGTGGACGGTTAGAACATCTCTCTTCGAAAAATAAATCTAAGGATCCGCTTGCAGAAGCTCTCGGCTTATTACGTTTTGAAATTTAAAGGCTGGGCGAGCAAGTACGTGGCGCGTTCCTAGGAAAAGAACAAATTGAGACCTGTGTACCCTTACTTTTTTATTTGGGATTGTTTTTCAATAATTTCCTCTCCATCCCTGCTCTCCTTCTCTGCCTCCTTCGAAACCAAACCTTTTCTTGATTACCAAAAACTTAGGCGGCAGTATCACTAAGCCACATGGTGGCTCCATCTCCCCACTTCTGCTGATTTCTGGCGATTAGCTGAGGCATTTGTAGATCTCCTAGAGCGCTAATGACCCTAGTGATGTGTCACATCAAACGCTCACATCAACTCCATACGTCGCCCATCAACATGTCCGTTCGCACCTGCCCACGGACTATCAGCAACTGTCTATCTGTCCGGCCGACGACAAAGAGCGCCCGAGCGTGTTATCTATATCCGATCGCTGCAACGGCGCAACGATTTCAGATCACCTACATCAGACATATTTCCGGACATATTTACTGCACATACCATGTGAGATTAGAGCGCAACTTCGGCCACCTGCCTCATTGAACCTGCCCGACGCCCTGCTTTCCTACCGTTACTATAGGTGATATGTAGAATATATCCCTCGATAGCTTCGACGTCAGGGTTCATTTAAAAACTTCAAGGTTATTCAGATAAGCCACAAGATCGTTCTCGGCGCAGCAAACCCTAACATCACCCACTCGGCTCAGCAAACCCTAACATCGACCAGGGAATATACTTAACTGCGCATTCCAAGTTTCCTTGGTGAAGGCTTAGGAGCGGTCAAAATCCCTAATTTCAGAGTTTCTGAATTAGAAGATTGACATCTACATAGAGAACGCTCTCCCCCGCAAGCGGTTCATCTCTTGAGATTAATCCTATGACCCTGAATATCCATGCCAAGTACCGAAGAGCTTGCCAAATGTACTTGATGGCGGGATGGGGTTACCAGCTGCCGTACTTGAGGACACGTCACTTCTGTGATGCTGAGGAAGTCTGGCATGTGTCGGCAGAATGCGCAGATATCCCCGATCTCTCTCTTGTATGATTTTCGCGCACCAACACGACAAGAAGGAGAGAAATGTGAAATTATACACGGTTGTTAACCGCTAAAGAATGCGCCATACACCTGAATTTTGCCACTCGTTGCCGTGGTGTTTGGATGCGTGATTGCAAATCACTAGAAGGCAGAATAGAAGGGGTTAAGGGGTTGTTTTCGCCTATCACTCGGAGGAGCCTCTGCCAACCCACGAAGCCCGTCAGTGAGTTAGGGTTGAAGAAATTAAGACCGGACTAGGCAATGGCAGAAAAGTCGTAGATTAACGCACTGGATATCGAAGTTGAAGATTCTAGGCATACGAGGACTTCTAGGAGGAGGATAAGTTCTGCAGAAGGACTGAATTACTTGAATGCTCTCGATAGGTCTATATTCGTCTAAAAGATATGTATTGAAAAGTAATTCTCACTAAGTTAGGACAGCCGTTTACCTACTTCGAACGAAACCAAACACCTTCCCTTTGATCAATTTCAGTCTCCGAGGTGGGCATGAAGTTTGAGGAGCCACCCCATTGTGCTCTCCAATACTAAAGATAAGAATAAGCGCGCTCGTGACATGTAATCGAGGCTTGAAGTGTACTTCTGATAAGTGCTGGAGAACTCGTGAGGTGCTTCACATATCGTCCTGCAATGGTCCCAAGAAAAGGTCTTAAACCAGGGGAATAGGCAGCTTTGCAGAGGACTAAAGGTGAAGCAGCTCCAGGGTGTATGACCAGGCGCAGCAAAATGTACAGGATATGGGCAGGATGTGTGTGGGATGTAGAACACTAACTGATCTATAGTAGT